CAATCATAGGTTTGTTGGCAGCGGGTATCCTCGCGTTCAAGAACCGACCATTAGAGTTTTATATAGGAATTTACTACACGTAAGCATCACGGTGTTTATTGATACAATCACGTGATTTCGATTATTTGACGAATTAGTGGAAATACCGTTGACGTTATATATATTTGGACGAGACAATGTGCTTTCTTTTCTTCATCATACTTATAATGCGAAGAATACCGGAGAAAAATAGTCACGATATGTAGACTCGTATTCGGATTTATTTTCTTCTCGCAGTGTTCATTGATTCATTGTGATAATATGATGGCTAATTAATTATGAGCGAGAATTACAGAATATGTTTTATTATGCTGTTATGAATATATAATGACAAATGATTATATATCTCATTACAGCGCCGTTGGAATCGTTGTTACGATATTAGAGCTGCTGTTCCTGTTTTCAAAATGCAGATGTTGCTCGTGAGTATATGTCGCCATCTATGACGGCACAGAACAAACTGAAATACTTTCGTTTAATTTCATAGTACGTGTAAAAAAACGGCGTACTGCTGATAACTTCCTGTTTTCCTTTTTCATCGGCCAATCAAGACACTTTGCAGAATGTCCGTAGAATTGTCCCGGAAATGAAAATTATTTTTATAATTCTTTTCTAGAGAGGAAAGTCGATGTTGGAGGACGATATTATGGTTTGACAATTGGAAAAAATCCATACTGTATATTTTGTTAGCAATTTTGTGTTTCATATTCCCGTTCAACACTCTGCTGGGCTTGGTGTCAGGTACGTCAACGATACACATCAAATTACATCCCCGGAGACTACTTGTTGATTGAAAATATTATACAGTTATTGCTCTCATCTGAGGCCGAATACAAGAATAACAATTTTCCCTCCGTCTTTTTATCGTCTGCAACAATCTAATCCCGGATGTTATGACATCAAAGGCTAATAACACACAAACAAAACAATGACGTCAGAGACATGAAAGAGGGCAATATCAATATTTATCAATCATGTGGTCGATTTTGACCAATAATAATACTTCAGAGATAACAATTATAATTATTCAATTTATACGTATTTGTTGATTCCCTGTGCACGTGATGTTGCGTTTGGTGACGCCATACGACGTTATCATTTTGTAGGCTCGTTAGAAGCTCGACTGGTCATGATCACCCTTGAACTCCGAACAGTTCGATAGGCATCATTTATCGTATTACTATGAGGTTATTACGAGGATACCTCAAAATATGCACGAAGGCAGTACAGCGGGAGTATCGACCGATGCGCAGCGCGGCGTACCGCGTACTGTCTGAGTGCTTACTGGGAGGTATCCTCGTAATAACCTTATTATTATACATCTTTTCCAAGGATACATCATAGGGAATGCCGAAATCCAAAAAGTTTAGAAGAGAATCAACGAACTTTTTTGTGTGGAGTCCAATCAAACCCTGGTTGCAGCAATGTTTGTTTTAATTATTAGAAAACGAAATGTTTTAAGTATTACGCGCGTAATCATTCCATATTTGGAACTCGCATTACCGTATATGGTAGGATAAAAATACCCCGTAAATACTACAAAATTACGGCACGCTGTAACTTATGGCGTTGCGGTAACAGATGTATAATAACATAATAAACTATATTTTGATTTATTTAATTTTTCTACTGTAGGTTGCATGCTACTTGTAGCCGCGTTGTTGTATATAATGAAGACGTGTAGACCAGACGGGGATGGCAACGAACATCGACAGCTAACCGAGGTCACCGGTGATGATCAGAATACAATGAATAACTAAAGTTGTATTATCTGTTAAAGTATTTTATGTAATAACATACGACATGAAACCAAATCAATAATTACAGCGTTCCCAACTCGATCACAGCTCAGTCGGCAATGTTCGGGTTTTTTGCTAACAATTTCTTATCAAGATATCTTGCGAACACCGTAATTGTTGCATTTGGTAACATACTACTTCATTTGTCAATGGCTACAAACAAAATGTATCTGATAATACAACTTTAATAACAGTACGAGAGATGTTGGCGACTTACTAAGGGTCGTGCTGTAACTTGCATGTGTATATCATAGTGTGGTACTTACGAGAATATTTATAAATTTACAATTTATTTATTAGTTTGTCAGTACCAAAATATAGGTATTAAATAAATATATTTTGTAGACGGTAAAGATATGACAAAAAAAGTCAAAATATTTTGTAAAACTTTCATTGTTGTCACTTTAATATGACGCAGAATGGTGTATTATTTCGCGAACTGTCGTCGTTGGGGGCGATATACTAGCGGGCAATTTGAAGAGCGATTCACATTTGCATATCATTACAATTCAGTCTATCTGTGTGTTGATTCGGTTGTTGTATTTAAATTTTGGTCTCAAGTATTCACGTATTTTGTGCTATTCGAGTGCTTCCAAGTTCACCAGCTGTCATTGTAGATGTGTGATACACTGTGAAATAATTATGTTTATCTTCTATTTATATATTTATTATTGAAAACATCTTCACCAAATATCGATGATCGTATCAAATATGACGTCAACACCAGGCATTAATTCGGAAAGCCAATTTTCCACACAATGATCTATATCTTATATAGATATGGAAGGATGACTTGTAGAATGCGTACTCTGAATTGTATATGAGCGAACATTCTAACAATGCACCTAACAGTGTTTTCTACCGGGAAAATAAAAAAAAAAAATCTCTACAGGAAATGTAGTAGCTCTGAATTACAACCTCTGATTTCCCCTACCATAGGATATTTACCTTGTTAGTTATGAATTTGACACGTCAAAATCCCATGTTAGGTCCGACTGTCCCCGGTAGATCACATTGATTGGTGCGTATTAATTCGTACATTCAGTAAATGTAACAATGTTTTACTCATTTGAGCTGTAACGCGATGATTGGGAGCTATAACACAAAGTGGGAATTCATTGGAAGACAGTTTACGTAATTGTTACGTTCCTGTCTCAGTGTATTGTAATACGTTAACTGTGACACATTTCCCATTACTTATGACCGTTATAAGTCCAGTCTTTGTAATTTTACTGTAGTACAACGTAGTGATACAATGTAACCATTATTTAAATAAAATAAAACTTAAAATTGTGACACAAAAAATGACACAAAATGGAGAGCGTATTAATGTTACTGCTTGGGTGTGACGATATTATCAGTACCATTATCCCGGAAGAAGGTTATCCAGAGTTATGGGGGAACCAGAATTGTAAATAGGATTCGATTGTATACAGCACCGCACTTACAATTGTTAGTGATAGATAATAAACGAGTTTGGTGAAACTCGTAAAACATAACAACTGACTTATCATACAGTGTGATGAATGACTGAGCGAAGCAAACGCGACCACGATTTTATCTCGTGAACGTTCTCCAGTCGGCAATCTTCGACCCGGTCTTCCGCCTCAAAAACCAATGTGTTCTATCCTGAAAAATAAAAAAGTCATGTGATTTGTAAAGGCATGATGTCATTACTGCCATCAGTTTCCCTCGGCTCCTTTTATTTTCTACTAATAAGAAGTTGACCAGGCCATCACTTTGATAATCACGCCTGTCTTAATGGGAACGAACTTTGTAGCTATAATGTTGCAGAGTTACGCGTAATGACAGCCGCAAGAGGTGTATTTACTTAACGTCAAGTTGTGCACCGTTTGATATATTTCTCTGTACATATTGCGCATTAGCATTGTTAATTTATTCTGATCCGTCTCGTATAAAAAAATGTTCACGTGATCATACATTTTTTTTAATGTCCCACTTTGACAATGACCGCGGATTATTACAAGTGTCCGATTCGCACGTCGGGTTCCACTGAGTGAAGCGAAGGCCAAATATATGGTTGGCGAAGATGCACTAAAACGTGCATTTTCAATATATTAGAAAAAGAAATACATGATGACAGTAGAAGATAACAGAAAAAATGAACTGAGATTCTATCGAGTCTAAATGTTCAGAGGATTACTTAACAAACATAAAATTTATTGAACTGTGGAAATTACTTTTTAGGTTTCGTCTAAGTAACCATTCAATTGGTATGGCTTCTCTGTAACGCAAATCAGATAGAAGATGAACAACATTTGATGTCTTTCACGTCTCTCCAAGCAAAAAACAAAAACAAACAAACAACATTCTATTTATGTCAGCAGAGAAATGATAAGCACATTTCAATCAAATAGACCATGAGACCAATTCAGCTAAATACTATAGACGTCCATGCAAATACGTAGCAATTTTGAGAGGTCAAGCCTCTCCCTGACGGTCTCTCACTGAAGATTTTATGTGACTTTTCCTATAATGTTCACGTAATGTCCTAATATAATGTTTTATGGTCTCGACCGCATGACTGATTTCAACGAAATGGTGACTATACGACCTTTGGTATTTACATCGCAATTTATGCGTCAGTATAGCATGGGGTCTGGTCACTTTGTTCATGCAGCTGTGTCTAAAACAATATTTCGATAAGATTTGATCACCTTTGTGTGGTTATATTTTTTTTAAATTGATCAAAATCAAAGCTATTTCCGTTTAAATAAAATAAATAAACAAACAAACAAACAAACAAACAGACAAATAAACAAACAAATATTTTTTATTACATCCATAAGTTGGCTCATTCCTCTCCTGAAGACACCGTGACACGTTTTGCTGATGAAACACAAATCCTTAAATGCCAGACTCGACATTTAATTTTGTCATGTGATGTAGTTCTGTTCGGACGAGGCGCGTATGTTTGTTTGTGTTTTTTTGATTTTTTTGTGCGAAGCATGGCATAAATCAGCCTGAGACGTCTCGAGCTGTCAGTGCACAGGTCTCATGCCACTAATTAACCAATGGCTGCTCAATTTAAATGCCTAACAAGAACCAATGACATTTTTTAAATATTTTTTTCTCAGGTGCTCCCTGTTTGAGGGCGTAATGGGTCAGAGGTGAGACCAACATGTGGTCTTTTGTTTACTACTTAGCGGCTGTGTACCTGTGGGTTTATTCTGTGTGTATTTGGATGTTCTAATCTTGGTGTTTTTCCAGTGATTTCTCTTGGTGCAATCCAAATACAGTAGGTAGTCTTGTTTACCTGAGATTTGCAAGAGTTTGAGCTGGCCAACATGTTAGTTTTTTTCATATGGTTGATTACTGGCATGTTGATTTCCCATTTTTGAGCCATATTTTCAACTTTCTTCGTCATTTTCATATAGCAATCTCGTCATATGTTAACATTGTCGTCTATGGAAATTCAATTAGTGGTATGAGCCCTACACAGGAGATGCATAGAGAACAACTTGTTTCACCGTTGGTGGTGCTAAACCACATTGAACTCACCTAAACTGTCTCTGAACTGTCAACTGACTGTCGTGGCTGGAAGCATTGGCTGTGATCATCCAGAAGACGCTTTATGTTGACTAAAATAAGTGCAGTGTGCAGGTAAGCAATGCGCCAGTATAACTTGTCATGGTTTCGCGGCATTAGTAGTTTAATTTGTTCGGCCTTGGAATCGCACGAACGCCCCCTATATAACTCGACAGTACTGTACACACTAACACACAGGGCTCGCTCAAGGACGTACCCTTGTCTTATTCACTGACAGGCGGGCGGTCTTGGACCAGACCTGACCACTTGTCACTTACCGTTTACATTTGTTTTATAATTATAACACGATACCGCGGTCAATGTACGTCTAGTAGAAAATACTGGTAAAACTGAATTCCCGGATTGAATTAGATTTGTACGAGAGTATTTTAACCCGAGGTTGCGTGTGTAGCTACAATACTTTTTAATTGTGAGACTAATGTGTCATCCCATTGTGTCATTAATTGTGAGACTAATGTGTTATGTTGTCTGGGCACCTTCTGGCGGATCATTGAATTCTCTTGTTTTAACTGTAATTGATACTTGACCTGAAACTTGTACACAGTGTTTGAACATATAGACAGATTAGAACTCAGAAGATATTTATTTGTGTGGGGCAGAATTTACTATTTTGCGATTTGAAAAAATCCAATCAGAGAAAAGCTTGTTTGTTAATAGTTTTTTTTCTATGTATCATATTCTTCCTTGAATATATAGTTTGACTCAACTGAACATTTTAAAATGTTAATGGGTCTATTAGACTTTGATCCCTAGGGCAGACACATAAAGGTCATATAAGGCCATTTATGGTTCAAGACATAAGAAGTTTAATTTCTGTAAAATATTTTATTTTAGCTGGAATTAATTTTAACTGAATTTTTTTGTTGGTGTTTTGTATGGAATTTATTTTCACTGATTTTTGACAATTTTAATGTAAAATATAGGAAAAAAGTTATATTCACGGGATTTAATTTCACTGATTCATCCCTTCATCGAAAATACACAATTTTAGAATATTGTGTGCTTTTACACATTTAAAAATATATATTTAAATCAATTCATATTGATGAATGAATTTAGAGATTAACTTATGTGTTAATATTGTTAGAATTTACTGAATAGACACTACTCTTATTTCAGTTTGCCCAGGAATGTGGTTTTATGGTTAATGTATAACATTAAAATCTCAAATTGGTAGTTGAAAACCATTCAACCAATCACAGCGACTGATTTTGACAACACTGGTGTAGATGAATATAACGTTGATATAGCCTTAGCTTTGTCATGCATGTCCATTAATGATTATAATATTAATGTTTACAGTTAGAAACATACATGGATAATCTAAACTGAAAGTATTGGTTTACAGATATTTTATAATTTATAAAAATTGGCAGTTGAAAACCATTCCCCAAAGCAACTGTGATTTTGATGTCACTGACATAAGATGAATATAATTTTAAAACTACTCAGACCTAGTTTCAGCCAATCAGCACAGAAGGCACACATAACTATGCTTCAATATCCAATCAGCTTTTTTTGTTTGAATTTACTTTTATGAATTACAAACTAAATTTACAGTTTAACAATATTCATTGATAATCCAAATTGAGTGTATGGGGTATCAATATTTAAAAAAAAATACACAGAAATAAAACATTCCTATTGTATATATTTACAGTGAAATTTAGAAAGATATATAATAATGTTATAATGAAGATATTCAGAACTGTACTGTGATATTTTAATGTGGCATTTCGACCATTTATTAGTTTATTTTTTTCTATTCCAGAAAATATTTTTCAGATTTTGAATATTAACTCGAACTATCAGCATGACTGAGAAAACATTGATGGTAGTGGATTGCGACGCCGGCATTGACGACGCACAGGCTATCATGATGGCGTTAGCTCAACCGCATATAGAGGTGCTGGCTATAACCTGTGTGGTGGGAAACCAGCATGATGTTCGTCAGATTTGTCGCAATGTCCTGCGAATACTTAAAGTTTGCGGTAAATTAGATAAGGTGCGTTAAAAACAAATATCTATTGTATTATTAGATCGTGTAGCAATTGTAACCCACTATGTATGATGCTGGGGTTCAAGTTTATATTTAAAAAAAATAAAAACTACCATGATTTTTTTTTAGATACCAGTTTATAAAGGTGCTGAAACAACTCTTCTTCATAGAACAAATGCGATTGATTCATCCCACTTTCATGGAGTTGATGGTCTGGGAGATAAACCAGATCCAGAGGCACCAGACGACAGTCATATTGACTCAAAGAATGGTATACTTGCTTTGATAGACCTAGTGAAAAATCATCCCGGTGAAATCACTGTAGTTGCATTAGGTCCTCTGACAAACCTAGCTCTGGCAGCAAGAGTTGATTCTGATTTCTCAAAGAATATCAAAGAAGTTAGTATCATGGGAGGAAATACTGAAAGTAAGTCTATATGATTATATGATTACTTTTATTTGTTGTTTCAATGTATAACAATCGCCAACTTTCCGAAATTTGTTTTAGGATTTATTTTTGACAATAACATAAGATGTTTCAGTGTCAATAAACCAAAAAGTATCATCTTCAAGTTCAACATTATTCAGTTACAGTATTTTTTGGTGATATTTCAATCTAGGAGTACTTTATTGCTCAAAATAATGTTTTTAATATTTTTTACCAGTTTCAAGTTACCTAATTAGTATGCATTTTGATTAATCACTGTGTAGGTTACACATAGAACTCACTGCTGCAAGAAACTAGTAGCGCCAAACTTGTATTCATATTTCTATGCAAGGTTTCTTAGTTTCGTTTTGAATCATTCCGTAAAGAAATCACTGAAATGATTTCATCCAATCATAGAATGGACGTTATTGCTTCGCCGATGGCCTGCGAACGACTTACATTGGAACATTTCATTCAGATCAGATTATGCCAGTCCCCTCTGATGTATCCAATAACTTTTCCATGGTAATTTTGTGCAGAAAGAATTTGTTAGTTTCAGCTTCAAAGCAACAGTATCATTTTCAATTGACCTTAGATGCAAACAGTTTTTGAATATTTCTGTTACATATGCAAATGAGCTAATTACTATGCAGATTATTCTTACTTATAATACAGACATTTCACA